GCTGGGGAGTGGGGAGGATACCAGGATTGGCTGGGGAGTGGTGGTGGTGGGGGGGGGGAGGATACCTGGGCAGGCTGGGAAGTGGTTGGGGGGGGGGGGAGGATACCCAGGCGGGCGGGGGAGTGGTTGGGGGTGGGAAAGGATACCTGGGCAGGCTGGGGAGTGGTTGGGGGGGAGGATATCAGGATGGGCTGGGGAGTGGTTAGTAGTGTGAAGCAAGAGAGCTAGTTAGCACTGACGGTGGGTATGAAGCCATGGAAATGCTCTCTGCACTCACCATCCCTTCCCAACATCTAGTAGGCTGGGGTGAATCACCACTGATGAAGAGCGAGGATGATGTGGGATGTTATCGCCGGGGGGCTGGATGGCTCAGGAGACTGAGGCAGAGCTGTGGAGCCACCGGTTCAAATCCAGCCCCTCTCCTTGGGCTCTTAAAGCTGGTGGCAGGTTGGCAGCCCCCATGAAAGGAGATTGGGGTTTTGGCCTGGTTCCTAGGGGATGGAGGTGTCTGCATTTAAAACCCCACCCCCACTACCAGCATTAGTGCAATCCCTGCTGGCAGTCGCAGCACAGAGAACAAGGATCAAATGGGCCATGGAGACCGAACTCCCCACTCCTCCTTGTGGGGCTCCCACTAGGTCACGACAGAGGCACATTTGCAGGGTGATGGAGGAAAGCTGGTGCGGCTGCTGCCTGTGCTATACCTATGGACAGAGGGCATCACTCCTGTTCCAATAGGCTACACTATCCCTTATGGCAGAGGCTCTGGCCAAACCCTGGGCAGTCCGTGGCTGTCTCAGTGATTGGCCCAGCACAGGTCACTTTTAAATGCTTCTGTCTGACCTCCCCTTTGCATCCTGACTAGCTGCCAGAAGTGGAGGTCCTGAGAGACGACGCCCACCGACGCAACCAGGCATCGGGCCCCCCAGAGGTACAGAACTGGGGCCCCAGGCAGAGCCGTGCCAGCCGCTCCGAGGGGAAGTGCTCCCAGTGTGATGCTTTTCTGGCCCAGCTGAACAAGATGATTCAAAGTAAGGGCTTCTCCCTGTAAGTGAAAGCTGCTCTGACTCCCAGGGGTAAGGAGGCTCAGTTCATCAGTGTTTGCAGAGGGCTTGGAGATTCCTGATGGCAGGTGCTGGAGAATCACTAACCGGACTCTGAGTTCCTTCTTACACGAGTGTGGTGACAGTCACCTGCTGGTCCATTCTTTCTCCCTTCCCTACACTGTCACCTCGAGTCTAATGTCCTCTGCTGGTTTGACTTGCTCAGCTGCTCTCTGCAGGGCAGTGGTAGCACGTTGGTCCCTCCTGTTCTCTCCCTTTGGCACAACAGTTCAGTTTCCAGAGGACTCAAATACTTTGACTGAAGTCTTGGGCTCAATCTAGGGGGAGCTGGGTGAAATTCTCTGGCCTGGCACATGCAGGAGGTCAGACCAGATGATCTGATGGCCCCTCCTGGCTCTTAATTCTATCGGCACTCTGGACCTGAGCATGCTGGTTAACAGCAAGGCTCTTTTTCGGAGGGTGGACGAGGCATTTGCTGGCTGGGGAGTGCTGGACTCCATGGTTGCAGCTGCTGCTATAACATTTTCCTCACCCGTCTCTCCTTCGCTGTTTGCTTTGGCTCCAGGCTGTACAGAGAAAGGGGCTGTGCTGCAGGAGGACCAGACCTTGACCTACCTGTGTGAGCTGCAGGGGCTCCTCAAGGTGAGTGACAGCAGAGGCCCCCTGTGGGACAGCACAGCTCATGCAGGGGTTTTAACATCCCCTGAAGGAACCCCAGTCCATTTCTGGGTCCGTTTCTGTCCCGGTTCTGCCGCCAAAGGGCTCCCACAGGAAATGCAGCGTTGCCGGACGATGTTGCAGGGATGTGGAGAGCTGCTCTGTGCGCTGTCCCAGTTGTGACCCTCAAATCTGCACCGTGTGTCTCACTGTAACAAGGTCGGGGGGGGGGGGTCAGGGGAATGGTCAACAACCTCAGTGCCCATCGGTGGCACCCTCTGGGCAGGGAGACCTCAGACATAGACTTGCCTATAACTTTGTGTCCAGGCACCCAGCTGCTCCTTTAGTATTTTTAGTGTGGTCATGAGGTCCCATTGTGCTAGGCGCTGTACAGAGACTAGAAAACAGTCCCTGCCCTGAAGAGCTCACAAGCTAATAGCTCACTTCACTTTGCTTCTTCACTTCTTTTCCTGTTTACACAGGGGTGGAGGGCCCACAGTTCTCCTTCAGGTCCATGGCACTGGGGCGTAGGTCTTGGAGTTCCAACCCTTTTCTTTCCATCATACCATGAGTCTCCCATGCCCTTTCTTGCCATCCTCTTCCTCCCAGGCTTTCTTTGATGTTCTTCTCCCATTTCTATCACATGTCCAGCCCACCACAAACACGCAGGCCTATCTATCACTCACAGTCCCAAGTTCATCTTCCCCCTAATTCCTTCCATGTGCACACTGTCTACCCGCCGCCTGCCTGCCATTCTCCTCAGTATGTTATTTTCTACTGCCTGTGTCGTCTTTTCTCCCATCTCCGTAAGACACACCGTTTCCAAACCAGAGAGCAGGCAGGAACAGACACACGCAGCGAACACGTCTCATTTCAATTTGTGCCTTAATTGCTGATCCCACAGTACTGCTGCCACCCATGCACAGTGCTCTTTTAATTCTCCAGCCCTCTCCCCAGTGGCACTAATGTGAGCAGGGGAATGGTCCCGCTATTGTGGGGAATTTTCCTGGCTTATACACTACCCCAGTGCAATGGGCTAGCGAAAGGATCTGAGTCCTCACTCCCACTCCCTTTACCCAGAGGCCTGCCTGACCTCGGGGGCTCCCCTTCCACTCTCCTGTGTGGCAGAGTCCTCGTAACCCCAACAAGGCTGGGGCCAGGATTCCTGGCAGGCTTCACCCCTAGTCTTGTCATGGTCACTTAGGGAAGGGGCTAGGGTGTCCCCACGCTGAGGTGCTCTCTCTGCTCTGGACACTTCCCTGACCCACTGATCATTGCCTAGAGTTCAAAGCAAATACAATGTATTAAACAGCAATCAATTAAAAAAAAATAAGGAAAGAATGGGAAAGGTGAAAGGAAAACCCGTCACCTGGCTCTGTGGCACGGGGACATCACAACCAGCCCTGGCTGGAATGTCAGGGCAGTTCACAGCCTTTTCCTCACACATCCCAGGCCCCTGTCCAGGCCCTGGCACTAGGGATGCCGCGGGTCAGACACTTGCTCTGGCGGTGGCCACACGCCTTCAGGCTCTAGGTGGCAGGTCCTTCTTCCCAGCATCAGCCCCAGAGTTGGGGTTATGATCCCCCTCCAAGTCCGGTCTGCAGGGCCTCTTGGCTGGGGGTGTCTCCCTGCACTGGGCCCTCTGCCCAGCCTCCCCCTCGCTCTCCGCAGCTGCTCACCGCACCCAGCCCCAGCCCCACTCTGCCTCGGCACTGCTCAGCTCCCTGGCTGCTCCTCTGGCCCCTCAGGTTCCTGCTCTCTCCTTAGCTCAGCCCCTCTGGCCAGGCAGCTCCAGCTCACACAGAGGACGGGATCCCATGCTCCTGACTCCCTTATTGGCCTACCTGCCTTGTCAATCAGGCTGACCTAGAGCATTGGCCTCTCTCCATTGCCCCGGGGACTGTCAGTCTCAGGGTCTTGATTTCTCATCAGCCCTTCCCCTTTCTAAAAAGCCCCACTAAGTTCCAGTGTGGGTCCAGCAGTCCCCTTACACTCAAAGTACACAAATTCTTTCTTCCGATTCAACTTCTCTCCTAAAACATCATCCAACAGCTCTTCTTCCACCGTTCCTGCTTACATAACTCCAGTTCCCTTTGTGTTTCCCTTCAGACCATAGGCTTCAAACACAGATGCCCGCTCTGCTACCGTATTTACCAAGCTAAAAGACAAGGCAGACAAAGAGAAATAGACCCATCGTTGCCCTATCTCCCCTCTGGCTGGAGCAAATGCTGCAAATTAGCCTCCACACCCCCTTGAGTTGGTCTTAACCAAACCAACATTTTACTGGCTTTGGTCCAGAAACAGAGAGAAAAGCAGAGAATGAAGCAGCAGGACTGGGTAGTGGTTAGAGCACCAGTCTGGGTTTGGGCGAGACGGGTACAGTTCTGCCTGCCTGTGGGACCATGGGCAAGTCACTTGGGGCCAGATTTCCAGAAGTATCTAGGTGCCCAATGCAGTTAGGTGCCCAGTGGGATTTTCAAAAGACTATTGGCTTTGTTAGGTGCCTAAATACCTTTGAAAACCCACCCTTAATTTATCTAGTCCAGCTTTCTAAAGGGAGTTAGGCACCTAAATACCGTTGAGGATCTGGGCCTTTGAGTCTTTGTTACCATATTTAGGGCCAGTTGAGTGATGCAGTCCATGGTGTTTGTATGTTTCGCTGTTGTTGTATCTGGCTCTCTTAGGCACTGCCCTGGCTCCCCGCACCACAGGAGCTGAGTGCCACCTGAGCCTTGGCATTTGTATAATAGTGTTGGTAGCTCTGTGCTGCCCCCCCAGAGGTGTGTGAGGATAATACACGAAGGCTCAGGTGGCACTCAGCTCCTGTGGTGCGGGGAGCCAGAGCAGTGCCTAAGAGAGCCAGATACAACAACAGCTAAACATACAAACACCATGGACTGCATCACTCAACTGGCCCTAAACATGGTAACAAAGCACCGCAGGGCACATCCCCTTATCAGAATGTCACTCAGTCAGGTTGCTGCTGGCCGCCTAGCAAAGCTGCACCCTCTTTGGGACACCCACTCCCCAGCCTCAGCCCGGGTCAGTCTTGCCTACTGCTTAGCCCATGAGGTATCCAGATGTAGCGATGCTCCAGGCTTACAGGCCTTTCTGGGCCTCAGTTCCCCAGGGGTACAACATAGCTAACGCCACTCTTTTTCTCCTGCACTTTAGCTGGCTGGTCTGTTTGGTCTGTAACATCTTTGGGGCAAGGACCGGCTCTAGTACAGTGTCAGGCACAATGGGGCTCTGATTGCGCATGGGGCCTCTCAGCGGAACCGTGATACAATAGTATCTAAGTTAGTAACACCATGGTGATGGGACAGATCTGAGACCTTCTTGGAGATCTAGAGAAACTGTCCTTTCCAGGAAGACATGGAACAGCCCCTAATGGGCTAAGCTCCGACCACTCATCCGTTCAGAATCCCTGTAGATTGATGGTTCCGCTTCCCCAAACAGTCTCCAAGGTGTCTTTTTGACCCCTTCCGCTCACTGGGGCGAGGAGATGAAACTGAAATAGAACAGATCAAGAGATCAGAGTCCATTCATCGCTCCCAAGTGGGTCTGTTTCTCCGCAGGGGCTGAGTCAGTGCACAGCCGGCCAAGTCACAAGGAGCCCCCAGGAAAAGAGCCAAACCTTGGAACAGCAGCATCAGCTGGTGACCGAGCAGGTAACAAGGCATGCATTCGGCTTTGTCTCGAGCTCTCTGACTCATTATAGTTTTTATGCTTCTCTGAAGTGGGCAGATGGTCTCTGGGGCCAGGGAGCCATCACAGGCAGGATTCTGCTGTCAGAGCGGCTGTGTGAGCGTGGGTCTGGCATGTGGCTGCGTGAACATGTGGGCATGGAGGGGAGGTAGCCAAAAGCCCGGACTGAATTTGCATGGGGCATTTGAGATGACAAGGATGGATGGAGTGTCCCAGCTAGCTGGAGCAAGGCACAGGAAGGCAGGGGTAGCTACAAGGAGCTTGGGAAAGTGCAGGGGTATCTCAAGGACCCATAATGGATGGAAAGTAGAACAGGCTTCCTAGTTACTGTCCAGAGCCTCTTGCATCTAGGGATTTAGGCCGATGCCAGTGAGGGCTGGTAGAGCCCCTGAAATTCACTCTCTGCTGCTCCAACAGCTCAAGGGCTTGTTCAGACAGAGGCAGCAGCTGCAGTCAGGGCACAGGAAGCTGTCAAGAGACCAGAAGGACGAGTGCTCAGTGGAGCAATGGGTGAAGAACTCTCAAGTGGTAAGAACTGCCTGCCCCTGTCCCCGCCCCGCATTAGTCCAGCTCTGTGCAGCCCATCTTCACACCCAGGAGGCGACTGCAGTAAGGCTGGTGCTGGTTTGTGGGTGTTGGGACACAGGCAGCAATTGTGAATGTGGGAGTCGGTTGACTCTGAAGGGCTGTCGGGTACGAGCCACGAACCCAACAGGTACCTGCCATGAACCCACTATCGTCTTTGGTCTCATGTGGTTTCTGCAGAATGCAAGAGGAGCCATCAAGCCACACGGGAAACCTCCACAGGAGCTAAGAGAAAAGCAGCAGCCTGTGCCAGGAGATCTGGGCTTCTCCACCAGCACCGAAGAAGCGCAGAGCCTCAGGCTGCAACTGCAAGAGAAAACGGAAATGGTACGGCCCTGCCCTGCCCCAGGGAACGCACCGCAGCTCGAGGGCAAGCTCGGGACTGAGTGGGGAGCTGTAGATCTGGCTCTCCTGAGGCAGGATCAAGCTGGCCAGAGGCTGGGAATCAGTTTGAGCATCAGTGCAAACTCCTCCTCTGCCATCCACCATTATGGAAGGATCCCCAGGCCCATGTGCTGCAAGAGCCCATCATGCTCTGTGCATCCTACTCCACACCCTTATCCCTCTGCAGCGGATTTTCTGTCTGCCTCTTAAGGAATCTGCCATTTTCATGGCCTCCCATTAAAATATGTACGTGTGCAAGGAGCCACCCAGGCAACGTACCCGCCGCAGGGTTTCTAACAGAGCCGCTCTGTGTTGTTTCCAGATTTCCGCCATGGCCTCTGAGATCCAGGGACTGCAGCAAAAGAACGAACACCTGATGAAAGGTACGGTGGCGGCATTGCCACGGCACAGGCTGTTCTTAATGGTACGAGGCTGCTGCTTGCAGCTTTACTGCAGGGCAGCGGGAATGGGGTGCTGGGCCAGCGGAGATTGAGGTAGGCTACTCATTTAAAAAGTGAAAGCTCAAGGCCTTTCTGCAGACTAGGGCCTGATCCTGAGAGATGCTGAGCGCTCTCAATCCCACCTGGTTTTAATGGGAATTGAGGTCGCTCAGGACCAGATCCTCAATGATGTTTAAAGGCCTAACTCCCAATGAAATCCATGAGAGTTAGGAGCCTAAATATCTTTGAGGATCTAGGCTCCAACGCCTCCATGAAGAGAGACAGTCTCTCTCCAGATTGAGGCCTATGTTAGGAATCACCAGGTCTCTGAACAATCCAATGATCCTCCATGTCTAGGATCTTGCATCTAGTTTCTGGATGCATCAGAGGAAGGCAGGACAGCCTTCAGGGCACACAATGCAAGTGCAATATCATGCTGTGACGGGAAGGCATGTTTGAGCTGGGACATTAATAGCTTTTGATATTTTTACCCTAACGTACGTGACCCCAGCTGCTGCTATTTTATAGACTAGATTTCAGCATTTACCCAGCCCTTTGCCTTAGTAACATCCTGCAGCAGTGAGGTCTGCAGCTTAGCGCATACTCTGCAATTTCAACCTTACCTTTGGCAGCTGTAACTGGTTTGCTTTATAATTCCATTGAGTTCCCCACTCCCTTTCCGGCTCTTTGATTGGAAAAGGTGACTGGGAGTCTCTGCTTGACCATTCATGGTGTTCCATTGGGAGAACACAGTCCATCCTTGCTAGAACCCCATGACTTCAGCGGAATTGCAGCAGGAGTTAGTCCCAGTGATCTAGCACTCCTTGCTGAGGCTGTTGAAAGGAACTGCCACCTAGAGCTTTGCAATGGAATTGATCATCTGATGCCCAGTAACAATCTCCTTCTTCTTCTCCTAACAGCGAAACTGCGGTTTCAGCAGCAAATCCAAGACATCCGCAGCCTCCAGCAGCAGCGACAGGAAAGGAGCGACTCAGACCTGCTGGTTCCTAGGCTCTCCAGCCGGCAGGAGCTGGAGTTGGGGCTGAGCCAACGGAGCGATGGCTCTGCACCTCCGACTGGCGGTGATCCCCATGCTTCTCTGTACCTAGCCAAGCAGGTGGTGCTGCCCGAGGCAGGAGACGAGCTGTGTTGCTTCAGTTCTGAAAGCAGTGGCAGCCAGTCCCACGGGTCCCAGGCAGGGTCAGAACTGCCAGCGCTGCCGCTGAGCAAGCTCCCTGCTGATCCTGTGACTGGGAAGCTGCCTCCCCCGTCCACACTGCCCCTCCCAGCCTCCACCTCAGCATCTGGCAAATCCTCCCCCGAGGCCCGCTCGGCCCCAGTGAGCCCCCGGAGCCAGCCTGGCAGCCAGGAGTCCTCGTACACTCCCAAGGGGGCAGTGCTGCTCTCGCCAAGACCCTTCCGGGCACAACGACTGGGCTCGCCCTTTAAATTCAGAGTGAGCCCGGAGCCCCCAGGGGAGAGCTGTGGCAGCTGAAGCACCCTGTCCGTTGAGATCAGACTAGATGATCACAACGGCCCCCTTCTGGCCTTGGAATCTATGAATCCTGCATGGCTGGGTACACGTGGCTTTGAATGATCCGCTCTGTGCCCTCTCCTTGTCCCCTGAGCTGTTCGCCGTAGAGTCTGGCTGGTAAATGAATGAACATAGCATGTTCTCTTGGAACTGGCTGTTTCCCCCTGGCAGCGGCGAAAGGTGGTCTCCTGACCCCTTGGGTTGGAATTCAGATTGGGGGCATTACAGGGGAGGGGCTGTTCTTGCACTAGCCGGGCAACTAAGTCCAACAGTCCCTAGTTCCCCGCGCACCTGGGCCTCCTGGAGTAGGGAGCCATCAGTGTGGTCTGTGAGCAGCAAATGGTTCGATGTATGCTACAGGTTCTTTCCTTGCCCGAGCATCTGAGCACCTGCCACTCATGCGTTAAGGGATTTGACTCACTTTTGCCATGCGTAGTTCTTGCTTTCGCTCGTCTTCTCCCCAGGGGGAGAACTGTGTGCAGTGGAGTGTTGGGAAACATACCCCCTGCTCTGTGTTTATATGGGGAAGGGACGGTCAGAGGGGTGCGCCTGGCACCTAGACCATGAGGTGGGGAGGGTTGTGATGGTCCTTGGGTTCATCCCACAGTCTGAGGCTGGCCCCCAAGACAGCTCTGCCTCCTGCATAGCCGAGCTTTACCCTGAAGTTAGGAAGTGCCTTGGTGCCAGAGGCGCAGAGCCCAACCAGGCCCCAGCCCAAACCTTTAGGTGATCTTCTACATAGGCTGGGCCTCTTCTGTTCCCCTGAGACAGAGAGCTTGCTTCTCCCTTTCCTGGAAGCTCAACCTCCTGAGGGAGAGGAGGCCGTAGATAGAGTACCCCCAAGCTACACCAGCTGCATTGCTCAGCTGCTGCACTGAGGAACAGGCAGCAGAGCAGGCCCACGCAGCTCACTGCCTCCAGTTCCCTTGTCCCTAGCAGCCCTGCCTTCAGAGTCATCAGGCAATGACCACTGGATGGGCCCACCTTTTGCATTGTAAGCAAGATCTCCCTTACTGCTCACTGCTGTGCTGCCACAGCCCTTCCAAAGAGCTGAAAGAGTTGGTGGAGGGGGCAGGTGCCCCACTGGCAGTGCTTGGGTTTCCCAGGGAAGTGGGTTTCAGTGGTGGGCAGCTAAGGATTGTCAGCATAGTCACAGATGGATTTGATTTTTGTGAAGACCTGATGCCCTCTGGAGCAGGTCTTGATCCTCTTCCCCAGCTCTCCGTGCTGCCCTGTGCTTGCTGTGAAAACCCCTTGGCATCGGGCACTGATCGCTATCCCCGCAGCTGATTTCTGGGGTGGGAGCAAATCCCCACCCTCACTATCCTGCTTCCTGTGTGGATAATGTGTCTGTCTTCCATAAAGGACTGAAATGTGCTCTACTGCCTCAGACTGTTCTTCTGCTGCGCCCCCAGGGACGGGAGGCTGGGCATCAAGGCTGGATGGAAGATGGCCGAGAGGCTAATAGCAAGGAAACCTTTCAGGCCGGAGTTCTAGATCTAGGAAACAGAGCCAGGTTCTGGTTCAGCCCATTGCTGTGCTAAGGGTGCAGGTAGGCTCCCCAGTGTTTGGCGTATGAGGAGAGGCAGGCTGGCTTCCTTTTCCAGATGGGGACACGCTGCAGCTGAACATCTCAAAGTTAGCGCCCTGTGATTCGCTCGCTGTTAGGGGTTTATCCTGCCACCCATCACCACCGCATCTCAGCCCCTTCGGTGTAAAATCAACAGCAACTGGAAGAAAATGAAACACCTTGTGCCTCCTCAGCTTCAATATCTTCGCATTCTGCCCTTCTCACAAGGTCGCCAAAGTGGGCCTGTCTCAGGCAGACCAGATGTGGCACAAGAACACCATCTCCACCGGCCCATGGACCATGGCCGTTTGGACCTGCAGTGATGCCAGGGCTGGAACTCCCATGCCACAGCACAGGCCCCGAGAGTTAAAGGCGACTCATAATAATAGAGCCTGTGATACACAGGTTCTAAATCCAGTTAGGAGAGAGCAGTGCTGCAACTACACAACGGCCGTTCCTCCATGTGTACATACACACCTACAGTCCATGTACATATACCTCCCCCAACACAACCAACAATCCAGATTATTTAACGGCACCATTCACTAGCGAGACTTGGGAGTTTAATAAAAACCCAAGGAAACCCTGTTAATATTGTTCTGACATCAATACAGTCGCATGGCAGGAATGACCTCATGGAGGCAGCAATACACTTTCAGAACAAATTCCTTTTATTTGTTTAAAGGGGACAAAGTGGATGGAAAACACAAAGGTCTGAGCCAGCAACCAGATGTGGGGCTGCGGGCCTGGGCCTTGCACTATAGTGACGGCTCCCCTGGGCCTTCCCAGTGATATCACTTCCTGTCTGGCATCTTGGGAGACCACCTAGCCTCTATGGAATGCTGCTGTGTTTTAAAAATAAGTTTCCAGGCTATTACCTTACCCATTACCCTGGGGGGGGGGATATTTTTCATTGACTGGGGATGTGTTAAGTATCTGACTGCTATGGTTGCAGCTTGATTTGATAAGAGGATATGAATGAAGAGATGTTGGGGTGATGGGTTGGCCATTGGAATAGGCATAAAATTACAACTGCATTGGCAGTAACAGCCCAGCAAGCTGCAGCTGCTCTATGCCAAGCTAGCACTGCCAGCATTACCTCAGTGTTGTGCCGGAAGGGGGACCATGGCTTAACAAGGGAATCCCTCTGAAGATTCAGTGACATCAGCAGAATCGCAGGAAACTGGGCTCTCCTGGATCCACCTGCTGGACCTCATCCCTGCAATCTTCCTTTTTTCACATTGTTGCCCTGCTCCTCCAGCAGCAGCTCTGAACTCCAGAACTGTAGGTCCAAGTAAAGCAGGGAGGATTATGCACCAGACGGATGCATCCCAGGGCAGGTCCAAGGTGAGACGTGCAACAGTTTGACACTCCATTATAAAGCAATGAAGTGGGAGAATGGGATGGAATCTGGTATTTTATGCAGGAAATTGGGGATAGCGAAAATGGCCTTCCAACCCTTCTGTGACCTCTTCCCTGCCCATGCTCAGGGCACATGGGTTCCTCCTTCACAGTGATCCCACAGATCAGTGCTCTACACAGTACAGCTAACTTGGGCTTTCTTACACAGAGATCTAGGAATCAAGGCTGACATTTCATCCATGTGTGGTCCAGCTGTTCCCTACGAGTGGACTGGAACAGACTGGAGGTTGTTCTGACTGCAGCACTGATCGTACATGTTACGCTGAGCAGAATTCACATAAATGCAGTAGGGGCCACACCTAGCCCAGAGCAGGTGTAATTCTACTGACTTCACAAGAGCATCAAGCATGGAGTAAGTTGTCATCATAACTACAGTGAAATCAATGGTGTTGCGCCTGGTTATCCTCAGGCTGGATGTGGGTCAGGGCCTCCAAGACTGTCTTAAATTTGATCACTGGTTACTGTCTTGGTTTGGGGATTGGGGACAACTAGCTTTGTTGGCGTGCCAGCCTGGAATCCTCCTGAGCAAGTCTGGAGCACATGAAGCTTGCTCCTTCCATCTGTCCATGCTCTTTCCTCTCCTCTCCATGCTCCCACTTCCCTCTGCTCCTTTCCATATCTCATGTTCCTATGCCCATCTCCTGCCCTCCTTTCGCTGCTGCTGCCAGTGCTCCCTTCCCCGGGCCAATGTCCCAACAGCAGCCAGGAGCTGATGGTGGGGCTCTTTCCCTTTAATTTCAGACATATGCTCTCTATCTAAGATACTTAACAAGGAAAGTCTCGCTTTGCTTCAAGTTCCTTGCTGCTCCCTGTCTTGGTGGCCTCGGGGCCATCCAGGGCAGCACAGAGCAGACTCTCACCACATAGGAGACGACACTTCTGACATGACTACAGTTCTTCAACCCAGCCACGCAGCCAGCGGGAATTACACGCTCAGGCATCAGCACTGATTTCCCCATCCTGCTCCGACTGACAAGCTCCAATGAGTCACCTGCTGATTGACCTATGTCAAGGGGAGAGACTGAAAACATTCGGCTGAATCACATGCCACCGCGCGGATTCCACCTGCCCTCGGCAGCACATCTCCTTCCAGTGGAGCAGCCCTGCCTCTGGGGCGTGGGGCCCAATCAGCACTCGGCCCAGGGTGCAGCTGCGTGTATAGAGACGAGCCTTTGGGGAGGAAGGGGAAAGGCAGCATGAGGCAGGGAGGAGTCAATGGGAGAAGCAGCCAGAAGGCTCAGCAAACAGCCCCTCCCCTGGAAATGCCATCCCATTCCGACAGTCCCTTGCAGACAGCAACAAGTCCCTGCACCTCCTCCGCCAATACCGCCTGTGCCAACACCCCCCCAGAACCCCTTCCAAATGCCACCATGTGCCAACCCCCTACAAGTGCCAGCTGCCTTGACAAACTCCTTAACATTCCACTGAGGACCCAACCTTCCCACAGCAAAAACATTTCCCCAGGGCACTGAGTCCCTACTGGTACCAATCCCCCTGAAAATGCCCCCGAGCATGAACCCGCCCTAACAAACCAGCTGGCTCCAACAAACCTCCCTGCATATGTCACCACCCACTTGCCAGCCTGCCTCTGCAAATGCCCCACTGTCACCTGCCTGCTCTGGAATCGGTGCCTGCACTGATAAATACTGCACCCCCCCTTATGCCCTGCAGCATGCTAATGCACCATCTGATGCATACAGGTTCCCACTCCCACTCCTGTCCCTCCGACCTGCATGATGGTGAACTCCAGGTACAGCTGCTGCTCCTGGATGTCTCCTGCAGGGACATTGAAGAGGAAGGGCGTGTTCCACACGGGGTTGTAGCCGGCTATGGACTTGGTCTCCTTTGTGTCCATGACTCGCCCGTTGTAGTAAAAGTGAATGACAACGTAGTGGTCTGGGAATGGAATTGGAGAATAAGGAGACTGCCGACAGCACACGGGATCTGCTGTGAACAGACACAGGTTTGCTTGGACGCAGGGAGGCTCATGAGGAGGTAAGTTAGGGGCGGCTGAATAGGTGTGTCCTGTCTCCCAGAAGCTCTGTGTCAGGCCCTGTGGAGCTACCAGGATAGAATGGAGAGAGCTTTGAAGCACTGGACACTCCCATAAGTGGTGGTCAGAGGGCCCCGGGCCTCGGAAGGTCATTTAAACAAGAGAAGGTGTCTGAGCCAGCTACTCTCTTCACTAGCGGCCTACAGCGTTGGCCTGGCTAGAGGATTCACAGCCCTTCTACCCCTGCTCCCAGGAAGGCGATGGGATCTGCCACTGCTGGGCTTGGGAACGTGGGATGCAAAGAAGGGTTAGAACAAAGGAGCAGAGAGGACCTGTGCCTGCCAATAAGGGGGTGGGGGAGAGGGAAGGCAATTGAGCATACCCAGTACAAGCCAAGGAGCAAATGGGGGGGCATGTGTCCTCTCATGCCCCCCACCCCCATGTGTCACCTCTGCAAGGGAAATTGGAAATCCCACAACTGTGATCCCCCCACCCATTCTGGATCCCTCACTTTAGCCCATATTTCCCCTGTACTGAAAATATCTTCATTCTAACCATGGTCCCAGGGGTGTCACCATGGGCATGCTCCTCATAGGGTTAAGTGTGTGCTGTACGCAACATTGGGTGGGGGGCTGATAGGGCCTATAGCAGAGATGCCCAGACTCCATGGTCCAAGGGGTCTGTAACTGAGAGGGGCATGTGCCATAGCAGATCCTGGGGACTTTTAAATGACACAACTGTATGTTCTACAACAGGAATACTATTACCGGTCCCTCCAAAGTCCTTCCTGCTGCCAAAGCCTATTAAACCTGGTCTGCCCCTCAGCCCTGCACCTCCCTACCTGGTGCCCCTGGCATGCGGGTGAGCCGGCCCAGATTCTCTGCCTTGCGGACCAGCACCTTGATACGATTGGCCAGAGCCTGGTACTGGAGGAGAATGAAGAGCTGGCCCAGGGACGTGGATTGGGAGCACGCAGCGCCGTAGCTCATGTCCTGGGCACTGAGACACTGAAACAACATGGACAGCAGGAGACAATGAAACACCCACCAATCTCACCTCCTCCCCCCAGCCTCCAGGGCACCTAGCAGCCACTGAGACAGAAACAAAGGTCAGCCCCATCCAGGAGCTTCAGGATGGAAAGTCCTTCACGTTCTTACCACAGCCAAAGGATTTCCCACCCACTTACCCCCATCACATATGCCCTCCCGCCCAGCTGCTCTCCTTCCAGCTAAGGCGGACTTCGCTTCACCTTGAGCTAAAGAAGGATCTTTTTGGACCTGTGGCCCTTACAGGATGCATGATCAGACATAAGCTGGTCTGGTATCCCATCTAGCAGAGGGAAGTGGTGATACACCCAGTCCTCACTTGCCCTGTGAGGGGAATTCCACTGAATGACACAGAGGTTCTGTAATGAAAAAGTCCTCCCCTTGCATCCGTATGGGTGGACCTTTCAGTCTCTGGGGCCCTGGAGACCTCAGCCAGCACTATCCCCACTTGGTACTATTAGTTCAGTGACCCAGTCCTGACCTTTTTGAGTTTGGTTTTGGTGGTTGACAGCTCCCGGGTGTAGCTGGAGGCCGCCTCGGGGTTCCAAGTAACCTGGGCACACGGGAACATCACTTCCCCAACGAAGGAGTCCCTGAAGCTGCGAAACTCCTTCACATAGACAGCGAAGCGCAGGGTGAAGCCCCTCAGCTCCTCCAGGTGGTAGCGGCCGAACTGGAACTGCTCTCGGAACTCGGGGTTGAGGCTCTTCCTGCGCACAGCCGTGCGCTGGGGCTCGATGAACTTGGGGAGCAGGTACACCTTGACATAGGAGTCCCGGCTGCTTCGAAAGCCCTTGGGCAGGTGGGACACGCTGATCACCGTCACAGTGAGCGTGGCCTCGGGCTGGGAGTAGAACAGGATGAAGTGGAGCTGGGGCTGCTGCTTGGGGCCAGCACTGGAGAGGCTCCTCGGCATGGTGGACGACTGGCGGACACTGGGTCCCAGAACAGGACGAGTCAGCAGGCTGCTCTCGTCAGTCTCTCCAGAGATGGTGGACCGGCGCTCCCAGCCCGGCTCTGTCTTGGAGAACAGGCCAAGCTTCTGGGAGAAAGGGATGCTGGGTAAAGAGGCCCTCCCATGCAACATGCTCTGTGGCAGGCTGCCAGCGCCAGGAGAACCCAGCGAGTCATTCCCTGCACATTCCAGCATCGCTCCCTCTAGCTCCACATACTGTTGCTGGATGGGCATGGTGGTGGTCTGGGAAGGCAGAGCAGGCCCCAGCTCCACCAGAGTGTTGGTTGGTACCTGCTCTTTCCTGCTGCTCTGGTTGTGCCTCTCACTTCGACGCCAGCACACGGCACAGCCCAGGAGAAGGCAGAAGCACAGAAGAGCCAGCCCCACTCCGAGGAGCACCTGCAAATGCACTGAATGGAGCAGAGAAGAATTACAGCATGAGTATATGAAGGGGGCTGCAGATAGCAAAGCTTCTGTGTGACCAGAAGGCATTTGGCAGAAGGTGCCTGGCCAGTGGGTAGGAAATGTGATTAAGATGGAGCAGTTTGATGTTGTGTTCTACGGCGATGGGCCTGTTACAAATGCCACAGCTAGACTGATTAGGCAGGTACCTCCTTCAGCTCATCAGAAATCAGCAGTTCACATCACTACTCCAAGGACGAAGTGATCAGAATCGTCCCTTATAATAATAATAATACCTGGTTATTTCCAAAGGAGGTCAGTATCAGGATCCCCATTTTACAGATTGGTAAACTGAGGCACAGGGTGATGAAGAGCCCAAGGTCACCCAGCAAGTCAGTGTCAGAGCCAGGTATAGAACCTAGGTCCCAGTCCAACTCTCTATGATCTTAAGATCTATGAACCAATAGCTTGATGACAACTGAATCTTGGCAAACACCAGCAACTGCACAGCAGTCAAAATCCAGATACACCCTCACACCCCAGGAACAGTCAGAGCCAGTGGTCCAATTCTGTGCTGTTACTAAACCAAACCTGTCATCCCCTCTCTCATCACCGCACAGGACATGCTGGAAAGATTACTGTGTAATGGCGAGCGATAAGAGAAAGGAGCAGGGTCAGAGAGCTGTGCTGGGGGCGTCAGCATCTGCAGTGCTCCATTCTCTCTGAGCACCATTCCCGAGCAGAGCTGGAATTATTACATCAGATCAACACATCCGTCGCAAGGCTAAAATAAACCCAGCTTCACCCTAAACAAGATAATGGCCATGGAAAAAAACCTCCTCTTATCAGCCCCACAGCCGAATTGACGCACTGTTTATGTAAGACACATGATTGACGCCAGTCAAACACCCAGAGGGAAAAAAAAACAGAATCCTCTCTTCAGCCTCCTTTCCAAGGCCTGGTCTACACTAGGCGTTTATGTCGAATTTAGCGCCGTTACATCGAATTAACCCTGCACCCGTCCACACTGCGATGCTATTTAGTTCGACATAGAGGTCTCTTTAATTCGATTTCTGTACTCCTCCCCGACGAGGGGAGTAGCGCTAAATTCGACATGGCCATGTCGAATTAGGCTAGGTGTGGATGGAAATCGACGCTAATAGCTCCGGGAGCTATCCCACAGTGCACCACTCTGTTGACGCTCTGGACAGCAGTACGAGCTCGGATGCTCTGACCAGCCACACAGGAAAAGCCCCGGGAAATTTTGAATGTGAAATCATTTTCCTGTCTGTCTAG